GTGGCACCCCACCAGAGGAAAAGGGAATTTTTAGCTCTGAGTTGTGGCATTCATCCCACGTCTGGCTTTGATGTACAGCATTGAATGTCTGTTGCTTTTAACTTGTATGTGATGTATTAATATTTATTGAATAAAATGTACGCTTTTAATTCCGAATGTCTTCACCTAAAATGTCTAATCTAAATAACCATTGTTCATATTTATAAGGCATGTGTTGCCTTGATCACCCATCAAGCTAATATTAGTATACGTTTCCTGTCAAAGACCAATCATTGCTGCTCCCTCTGCTTGTGTAGTCTGACTGGTCTCGTATTTTGTATCTGCAAACAGCCTGGAGTTGAAGGGCATGCTGATTCCCCATCCCTCTGGTCTTTGCCAAGTTATGTGCAGCGCAGTGATGTCACTTCTACTTTTATATGGTAATGTTTGAGTTTACAAAGGTGGTTTTGCACTCAGTCTTTTTATATTTTCTGTGGCTTTTGAGGAATATATTTGAAAGTAAGTTTTGTGTGCCTGGTGGTTAGCTTTAACTAATAGTTTAACTCAAGTTTATTGAGACATTAAAGTGGTTGTAAACCCTTCCATATACCCAGTGAAGTGGCTGGTCTCAAATGATACACAGGAAACCAATCCTCCTACACAAGTTGTACCTGTTTGTCAGGTAAATACATAAACAGACATTGCATTCAGTAAAAACTGTATGTCAAAACTGATGGAGAGGTATCCGCAGCAAAAATTATCTCCAGAACTCCACTTTTCCCTTTAAAGGGTAACTCGGCTTTCATGGGAAAAATAATCCCAAATTAAAAAAAATAATATAGCATATACAATTGGCACACAAACCATATTGTATTGTTAATAAAAATTATATTTCCTTTTCAATCTGCAGTGCTGTAGATTTTTGTAAAATTAAATTCAAATATGGCAACCTGGAGGGCTCTGTACACAGTCCGTATATGGAACTCCCCCAGAGATGGCATTTCTTGCTTGTGTGACTTGCTCACTGATTTTCCCAGAAGTCTGCACTAAAATACATGTCAGTCAGACAAATCATAACAATATATTCCATAATGACCTCCCCTAAAAATTAAAGGGGGAGCGAATCATGGAGGAGCTCTAAAACTTGAAATAACAAAGTATATCGACAAACTCATGTAGACTCCACCTCCGCAACATCTCCAAAATACGTTCGTTCCTAACCCCGGAAACTACTGAGCAACTCATTCACTCCCTTATTATATCACGACTTTTCTATTGTAACTCCCTCCTCACCGGCTTACCTCACCGCAGGCTATCCCCGCTTCAGTCTATCCTGAATACTGCGGCCAGACTCATCCACCTTACTAACTGCTCTGTATCCACCACCCCTCTCTGCCAATCCCTCCACTGGCTTCCGATTGCCCAATGGATAAAATTCAAAATGCTAACACTGACTTACAAAGCTGTCCATAACACTGCCTCAAACTACATCACCGATCTGATATCCAAATACCACCCAAAATGTACTCACCGCTCCTCACAAGACCTCCTACTCTCTAGTTCCCTGGTCTCCTCCTCCCATGCCCATCTCCAGGACTTCTCCAGGGCCTCCCCCATCCTCTGGAACTCCCTACCCCAATCCATCAGACTATCATCTACTCTCCTCTCCTTTAGGTGCACCCTGAAAACCCACCTCTTCAGGGAAGCTACCCCGCCCTCAGTTAATTGCCGATCTCCTCCACTCTTCCTACCACTCCATCCCCAACAGCTATTCCTCCCGTACCACTATCCCCTCCCTCCTAGATTGTAAGCTCCAAGGAGCAGGGACCTCAAAACCCTCGTGTATCGCATTGTATTGTTATTGTACTGTCTCATATATTGTCTCCCATTGTAAAGTGTCGCCATCTTGGGGGGGAAAGGCAGAGCAAGAGTGGCCATACATAGGCAATGCACATTAATGTAAAAATATGTATATACAGTATAATGAAATCCTAATAAACTTACCCACAATGAATAATTGTAAAGGATAACCTAAAGGTGCAGTCCATCGCTAAGAAAGATAACCGTCATGTGGGTAACATCAAGTATATTACGACCAAGAAAGTGCAGTAGGTCAGAGACTGGATAGCCTCTAAAAGAGCACACCTAATAGATATAAATATACGCACATTTAACCTAAAAACTCCCAAATAAAACTAATGTGACATAAAATAAAATGAATAAATGTACTCAATGAATAAAAGATACAAGTCAGATTTTATGCACCTCCTGCAACACAAATCTTGTTTTTTCCTGAGATGCTTCTAAAAGGGGTTAATCACTTCTAAAGGAATGCTGATCCTGCCACTCTCTGCAAGTGCATCAGCTGATCAAAAATGAAAGTCACTCTCATTCAGAATCAGTGCTGTACAAGACATCTAAGGCACCTTTCACATGGGGCAGACATTAACTGCAATCCTCTTGCTCAGTAGGGGATCTATCCTCTGATCTCAGCTGAGCAGGCAGATGACAGGTCAATGCTCACTCCGCTTAGGCAGAGCAAACACAGCCCACTCTCTTCTATGGATGGTCAGATGTAAATGTAACGCCTGTCCATTTACACCCAACTACCACCTGATCCGCTGGACGAAAACGTCTGTTTTGGGCAGATTAGATTGGATTTAAGTGGATGTGAATGGGCACATGTGCGTTTTCACTCACCGCTCTATCGAGGAGAATGGAGGTTCCGATCAGGTCTGCCTGAAAAAAAGATGGCAGACTCGATTTGTGTGTGAAAAGGGCCTAACAAAGAGCTATTCCATCAGAGCACAAACAGGTAGAACTCTGCAGCAAAATTTCTTAAAGTCCTTACAATGTATATAAATCATCCAGAGGGCATTGGGTTTTTTTCTCAACAAAAGCGGAGTTACTCTTTATAGCTGGACTCTAGACAGGTATAAAAGACACACGTTGATGAAATTCTGTAAAATTAAATATACCATTAAATGTGTTTTTTCATGTGAGCAGTGTAAGTACCTGAATCTGACCTGGTATCATACTCATGCAGTCCTTGTACGGCAGGGCTGGAGTGTGAGTGGAAGAAGCAGCATAAGAGGCCAATCACTTCATATGATGACAAAAAAGCATGCTGATAGGAGGAAAAAGAGAGTGACAGATGGCACTGTCACTGTACTGCTTCTCCTTTTCACTGTCCTGTCACAGGACAACCAGCTTTATTATCTTATATTAGGCTATTTTATTGGTACTTTTGGCTGGAGTTCTGATTTAAATAAAAGCGGTGTCAGTGCCTGCATTTGATCTGCTATCCACCTAAGACCTGTACAGCAGAGCTCAGATTGGAGGGAAAAGCAAAATTGGTTGTGCTGCATTGTATTGTACATGTGCAAACTATGGGTATGTTGACAGAAGGAAATACCAGAGTGACAGAGAGATGAGATAATCAGTCTGCTGCTTCACCTTTCACTGTTCTGTAATAAGCTGAGGTCAAGAAAAAGACCTAGACAATTCACCTAACTTCAGCAATGAAAAATTACGCCTTTTCTTGGTTTGCCAAAACCCAGGACCCTGCATTCACTATATTTGGTCTCCCACAGTACACAGAACGTGGAAATGCAATTGTTTTAGTAAATGTAAGCTGCTAAATACCTTTTCTCATCAGCAGTTAGAGCAGTCTTGTGACTTCTATCAGTATCCAGCAGAGCACTGGTTAATCGCTTTCCCACCACCCTATAGCAGAAATATTGCTACAGGGTGGCAGAGGTGCGCAAACTCATGCGTGTATATATACGTGATCTCAGGGGCGGACTGACAACTCATGGGGCCCCCTGGCAATTGGGGATCATGGGGCCCCTGTGTCCTTGCCCAAACTCAAAAAAAGCCTAAGAAAAAGGTACCAGGGACATCTCATGGGGGCCCCGTACTGACCCCTGGCCCTCAGGCAGTGCCCAAGTCTCCAAATGGTCAGTCCGCCTCTGCGTGATCTTGCATTTACCGGGTAAGGGGCACAAGGGAGCCACGCCGCTATTCGGGACCTCGGCTGTCAATCACCAGGTCCTGGCCAGTGATTACTCGCCGGCACCCGATGATCGCCAAGTATTACCGACGGGGGGAGAGAACTGTATGTAAACAATACAGATCTCTCCCCTGTCAGCTGCAGGACACTGCTTTGTATGGCTCTGCATGCATTACAGAGCCATACAAAACAGTGTGCTTACAGTTGAAAGCACAGACACAGCTTACTGTTAAACAGCACACAGTTAACCCTTTGATCACCCCACATGTTAACCCCCTTCCTTCCCAGTGCCATTAGTACAGTGTCAGTGCTTTTTTATTAGCACTGATCACTGTATTAGTGTCACTGGGGATGTCACTCAGTTCCCCCCCCCCTCCCAGTGTCAGAATGCCTACTGCAGTCCCACTAGAAGTTGCCACCATTACTTTTAAAAAAAACAAAAACAAATTCCAGTATCTATACTGTCATTTGTAAACACTATAACTTTCACGTAAACCAATTTACACATATTGGGATTTTTTTTTAGCAAAGACATTTAGCAGAATACATTTTGGCCAATTTATGACAATTTAATTTTTTTATTTTTTTACTGGACATGTTTTAATAGCAAAAAGTCAAAAATATCTTTTTCTCAAAATTTGTTGGGCTTTTTATTTATAGCGCAAATAATAAAAAACACACAGGCGAACAAATACCACCGAAAGAAAGCTCTATTTGTGGGGAAAAAAGGACATAAAGTTCATTTGGGTTCAGCGTTGCATGACCGCACAATTGTCAGTTAAAATAACGCAGCGCTGTAATGCAAAAAATGGTCTGGTCAGGAAAACAGAAATACAAATCCTTTGGTAGGGATATTAACTTCCCTTTATAGTATTTCATGCAACAGTTTGCCTAGAATTCAGCTTTAATGCTTGGGAAAAAAACATACTTGTAGAATAAATGCACCAACCTAATCAAATGACGGCTATTCATATTTGATTTTTCATCTCTTTTTTTATTTTGCTTTTAGGTATCCAGGCTAGCTGGCGTATTGACAAAGTATGGTATCAAGAAAGGAGACAGAGTTGTCATATATATGCCGATGATACCACAGGCAATGTATACAATGCTGGCATGTGCAAGAATTGGAGCTATACACAGCTTAATATTTGGAGGATTTGCACCAAAGGAGTTATCAGTGCGTATTGACCACGCAAAGGTAACAATTTTACCTAGTATGTCAATATCTATATTAAAATCATTAGCATTAAGTGTTTTTCTGCTGATCTGGGGGATATCCCAGATTATTTTTGGGTTTTGTAGTGGCATTATGTTGAGGGCATACAGGGTCACAGCATAACAATAAAACATACATATGCATGAAACCATAGAAGCAGAACTGTATCACAGATGTACTGAAAGAAGCATGTTCACTTAAAGGGGTTGATTTACTGAAAGCAAATAGACCGTGCACTTTGCAAAGTGTAGTAGCAAGAGCAGTAGTAAATGAGCAAAAGCTCTGCTGACTTAATCACCCAATCATGTGCAAGCAAAAATGCTGTGGTTTTTTTTTTTTTTTTTCAATTTTCATTGTATGTGCAAAGTGAAGCTTTACCTCATTGCTTTTAGTAAACCAACTCCAATGAGTCATCAGAGCAGTGATGACAAGACATGATCTGATGTCTTAACCAGACAAAGGAAGCCTTAAAATTATCTTTTGCTGTACTGTCTGTTTAGGTAACCCACAATGCTTTGAAAACTTTTATCACGCGCAAGGTTCTGTTCACACCTATGCAAGTGAGATGGTGACTGCAGGTATTGGGGCATTGCATTTAAAGCCCATTTATTTCAGTGGGCTGCCCTACGTGTGTAAACTGCAAGAAGTGAAAGCGCCTTTTTTTTTCAAATCATGGCACACACCAAAAAAAAATAGTACCTTGCTACCACGTGTTTTGCCATTCAGTTATTTTGCACATGTGTTAGCAAGGTGAGTGGTGGTACCACTGAGAATTAAAAGAGAAGAAGTATGGGGTTCCCTTTTTTGTAAAATTATACTTACCTAGGTGGATGCAGCATCGGTCTGATGCTGCATCTGTCCCCTGCCAGCTCTAAGGGTGAGAACTCAGCGATCACATGTCTGCTGATTACTGTGTTCTCATAACCATTTTGAGCAGAGAGCGATGACTGTCAGTCACCACTCTCTGCTCTACCCCCCCCCCCCCCCCCCCCCCCCATGCTCACTGGAGCTGAGAGTAGCTGACTCAGGCTCTCAGCAGATTGCTGAGAGACTGAGCCAGGTTCCACTCTAGACTCTGGGGTGGGTCCCAACTTTGAAGTAGGGATCTTCCCCCAGCCTGGACCGGCTGAGTGACATCAGTTGACAGAGGGCTGAAAGAGTGTAGAATGAACTGCACTCCTGTGGTGCATAGAAGTACAGCCAAGAGAGAGCTTGGCTGTACTTCTTTAATGGCTCCACCTTGAGCCTGTGATAGGAAAGTCAGTTTTTGTGCATTGTAGAAACGCATGTGATTTTGTGCCAGTTCCTGTACCACACCACCGTGAACCTAGCCTTTGACATTTACTTTTAACCAAGTATGTTTTTTAAACCTAAAAGCTAGAACTGACTCAACAATTGCAGGACAATTTTAAGGACCCTTTCAGACCTGCGTGTTGCAGTAATGCACTATACATGGCGCAGCATGCTGCACCTTGCCAATAAACTTCAACGCACATGCATTTCAGTATAACACAAAACAGAGGTGTCAACCAACTGTGCCTTGTGGTTCAATACTTTATGAACGTATGTGTGGTATTGCCACACAAAGTAGCTGCTGACTATCTTAAAGGGCCATAAGGACAGTTTTAAACACTGATTTGGAAAAAGAAAATTAAATTCCACCATTTGTGTTGTGCCTCCATTGACTACAGTCTTTGTCTCTTTATCAGAAATAGAGAAACTGCTAAAACTGTCAGCATCCAATGTTTCAGGTATGTAAGAAGCTAATAGTGGCTTCCCCTTCTCCAGCCATACATCACTATCAAGTCCTTGCAGCTGGGACATGAAAGTCCTATAGCATCTAGGGAAGGGGAGATTGGAAGGCATGCATCCAACCAGGGGCAGACTGACCATTTTGGAACTCGGGCACTGCCCGAGGGTCCAGGGTCAGAAGCGGGCCCCATGAGATGCCTCTGCTACCTTTTTCATAGGCTTTTTGGGTGTGGTTTGAGTGTGGGCAAGGACACAGGGGCCCCATGGTCCCCTATTGCCAGTCCCATGAGTTGTCAGTCCGCCCCTGCATCCAACACATCTGATCTGTAGGGCGCTGAAGATTCTAGTGGTACCTCTAACATGTAATAATGGTTGCTATAAATGTATTGTGTAAAAAATGTACTTGCTATACGCTGTGTCAAATTGAATTACCATTCTCCACAACAGTTCACTTATTGAGACTGTTTATCATGACCCTGCTATTTAATGGTTGTCACAATTCCTACAAGAAAACAAAATGATATGTATATATGGTTTTTGCAGCCCAAGTTAATTGTGACAGCATCCTTTGGCATCGAACCTGGTAGGAAAGTGGAGTACATTCCGCTTGTGGAGAGAGCGCTGGAACTGACACAGCACAAACCAGAGAAACTTCTTATTTATAGCAGACCCAAAATGGTGAGTAGAAATATCACACCTGATATTTTTATTTTTTTATTTTTTTTGTAGAGGTGCATCTAACTCTGTAAAATAGGGCATTTATTAATAAATTCCCCCCTGCACAAGATTTTGAATGCTACAGAAGTCAAAGTTTTGTTTACCATTACAAAGGAAATGTGAGTCATACTTTTGTCAGGCTGAAGCTCTCATTAGTTTATTTTACCCGACTGTTGCTGTTTGGATGACATTTGAAAGGGAATATTTGTTGTATTCCTTTGTGTCCCAGTGGATGGAAGAAAAAAAAAGCTCTTTTGTATGGTATTGTAATCCTAGTTTAAGCAAAGTTTAAACTCTGTATTTATGGAGTTTCTCCCAGAAGATATAAAACATGTTTCATGAACGACCTGTAAATGCTATTGACAAGTGACTGCAAAAAAGGCTTGTAATAAGAAGCAATGGGCACAGAGCATTACTGATATTTAAAGTGGTGAAGGATAAATGATACTTTCCAAAAATAGACTTCTATTAGTATGCTAATACTATACTGTGCTGAAAAGTTATAAGCGTAAAGCCATTAACAGATTCTTCTGTGTGAAGAATTGCATATTAGTGCTTTATCGTAATGGGTGCATCCCAAAAGTTGGTTTCTATTAAACAGTATTGCATAGGCTTTTTTTTGTGTCAGCCATTAATTAATGCAGAAAGTTTGGTGTTTAGGTAATACCCTTTATAGGCTAACTTCAGGTATTAAATATGCCCGTTTTCCAGACCCATTGGGTTCCCTTTTAAGACAACATACAATTCTTTAGCATTGTATAATTCCTGAAGAAGAAACCCAATGGGTCCTTAATGCTGAAATCCTGGTATGGTATTTTATTGCAAAGTTTCATGGTCCAAAAAAAAAAGGAGATAATTTGTTTTATTTCAGCAGCTTGGTCTTGGTCTCCTAGTGTGTTTTATTGCTTGTAGCCAATTAACTTCTACTTCTGAAGATTGATTTTTTTTTTCAGTGCTTCTTTGCATATTTTCTTATTGGTTTAATGCATGGTTATGGTATCCAGGGAATTAACTGAGCTTCTTGTACCATTATAATTATATGTAATTATAATGGCACAGGAAACTGTCAGAAGTGGCGTTCACCAAAGCAGATAGACCTGTCTACTTTTTTCAGGGCACTTTACATGAGGGTAGAGCACATTAGCTGGGGGCAGGGCACATTACATGAGAGCAGGGCATATTATGTGGGGGCAGGGCACATTTCATGAGAGCAGGGCATATTACATGAGAGCAGGGCATATTACATGAGAGCAGGGCACATTACATTGGACACATCATAGGGCACATTACATGGGAGCAGGGCACTTTACTTTATAGCAGGGCACATTCATGGGGTACATTCTTGGGCACACAGGGCACATTATTAGGCGCACAGAAGGGCACCATATTGGGCACACAGCAGCACATTACTTGGAGTATCGGTTTCCTTCATATGTAGAGCTAGGCAGGGAAGTGGCTGTGATACTGCTAGGCGGTGGGGGACAGTGCGCCACATCTAGCACTATCACAGCTACTTCCCTGCCTAGCTCTGCATGTGTTGGCATAGGGGATGCGATCTACCCAGCAGCTGCCTGTGACTGATTGATTGCGGCAGAACCCTTGGGGACCTCTTGAGGAACCAGAACCCTGATTGAGAAACCCTGCTCTAACAAATCAACTTGATTTTTTTATGTTGACCTGTTGTGCTCTGCTCCTTCTTCCTGTGGGTGCCTCCTTAGCAAGCCATGTGCTAAAGGTACACCTATGTGGGTGCTTTCCCAAGTAGTGCTGCGTTCATCCATAGACACCGCACGACTCAAACGTCCTCCCTCCTCACAGGATTTGACTGACTATGGCTCCTGCTTCTCCTGTGAGAATAGGAAGTCAGTTGAGTGGTGCTACAAATGGGGACAGCACTGGATAGGCAGAGGAATCGGTAAGTGTTTAGGGATGGGGGGCGCAATGAGTAGCGGGAAGATTTTTATCGTAATGCAGGGAATACATTAACCATTTTCCCGCCTCCCTAAAGCAGAAATAGTGCTACAGGGTGGCAGGGGTGCACAAAATCACGTGTGTGTATATATATGTGATTTTGCATTTCCGGGTAGGGGGCACGAGAGAGAGCCCTACTGTGCCGTCATTGGTAGCCTCACCTATCGATCACCTGGTCCTGGCCAGTGATTCCTCGCTTGCACCTGGCGAACGCCATGTATCACTGACGGGGGAGAGACCTGTATGTAACCAATACAGATCTCTCCCCTGTCTGCTCCTCCACAGTGTTTTGTATGGCTCTGCATAGCAAAGCCATACAAAGCAGTGTGCTTACAGTGTAAAGCACACACACAGTAAAACAGCACACAGTTAACCCTTTGATCGCCCCACATGTTAACCCCTTCCTGCCCAGTGTCATTAGTACAGTCAGTGCTTTTTATTAGCACTGATCACTGTATTTGTGTCACTGGGGATGTCTGTGACACCAAGCTTGTTCCCCCCCAGTGTCAGAATGCCCGCTGCAGTCCTGGTATAAGTCACTAATTGCCGCCATTACTAGTATAAAACAAAAAAATTCCAGTATCTATACCGCCATTTACAGATGCTATAACTTTCACGTAAACCAATTAATTTACACGTATTGGGATTTTTCTTTTAGCAGAATAAATTTTGGCCTAAATTTATGACTAAGTTAGATTTTTAAATTTTTTTTTATTGGACATGTTTAGTAGCAAAAAGTAAAAATATTGTTTTTTTTTCTCAAAATTGGCGGTCTTTTTTTTTTTTTTTATAGCGCAAAAAATAAAAAAGGCAGAGGTGGTCAAATACCATTGAAAGAAAGCACTAAATGTTTGAAAAAAAGGAATTCAATTTAATTTGGGTGCAGCGTTGCATGGCCATGCAATTATCAATTAAAGTGACGCAGTGCCCTATAGCAAAAAATGGCCTGGTCAGAAAGGGGGGTAAATCCTCTGAAGGGCAAGTGGTTAAGGTGAAAAACAATTGTACTTTAGAACCACTTAACTACATCTTATCACTGAATTTTGGCACATGCTAATAAGATTACAAAGTTGGACTTATATGAATATAGTTGTATACTGTACATGTGTATTTAAAGTATGCCTGGAGACTTATAAATATTTCCTGTTGGAAGATCCAGTTACTAGTGTGGGAGTTCCATAACTATGGAGTCTTTTTTTTTTTTTTTTTATGATTTGTTTATATTGCTGACATTTCCTCAGCTTTGCTTACAAATCACATCAATATGAAGCTCTACATGCTCATATGAAATACATTTACATTATAATTTTTGCTTCTATTTACAATGACTGTTTTTCTGCTTCCTAATAAAGTGAGGCACTGGTGATATAACCAGGGCCTCATAGATGCATTCTAAAAAAACTACATCGCAAGTGCCTTCTCCTTCAGTTGATGTACACTGTCAAATGTTCCAGGTTGCAGACCCAGAGTTCTAGGCAGAATTCCAGGAAGTAAAGGGAGATTAATTTGTCTGAAAAATTACCATTGTGAGAAGAATCGGGAGGAAAAGAAAAATAATGTATGCTAAGAATAAAAAGCTGCAATTTTATTTAAATTAATCTGCTTGTAGATTGCCACTACTAAATATTTCTAATGATGCCTTTTGTTGTGGTTTTTAATATTATGACTTTAATGCATTCTATTTGTAGTGTTGGTAGCATATGGACCAGTATGTATACAATTTTATCTAATGGAAGAATTCTGAAGCTGATTGTAAAGGTTTTATTCTATTACCAGCTAATATGCAAAAAATAAATTCTAATGATATGTGGAGCCTGTACAAGGCTTAAAGCAGAACTTCACCCAAAAGGGAAAGTTCCATTCTTCCTCATCCTCCTCTCTCCTCTTTCACATTAGGCACATCATTTTATTTGGTGGGGAGCAGGTACCTGGTTTTGACAGGTACCTGATCCTACTTCCACTCAGAATGCCTAGGCAATTCGAGTGGACCGTCACCCCCCCCCCCCCCTCTTTCCCTGCAGCTTTTTTTGGACACTCCACAGGTCCCCGAAAGCTGTAGGACCATTCACAAAGTGTAGCATAGCTTGTGCATGCTCAGTGGGCAGCAAGCGTTGAGAAGCCACAGTTACAGCTGGCTGCCCACAGTTAGTATACCAACATTGGGACTGAAGACTGCTGAAGAAACCAGCCTGGGTGAGGACAGCGCTGGATCCTGGGACAGGTGAGTATATGTTTATTAAACATCATCAGCTACAGTTTTTCAACTGAAATTACTGACACTGATTTCACTGCACACTCGCCAGGGAAATTTTCTGCAAGCAGTGGGCCTCTGTGATGGATCATAACTTGTGCCCCAGTAGTAAGAGTTCACAGGTCAGTAGTAAGTGGATTAGAGGTCAGAAATCAGTAGTAAATAGTGCAGAGGTCAGAAATGGCACAGAGGTCAGAAACCAGTAGTGACAGAGATCAGTAGTAAGTGACGCAGAGCTTAGAGATATATGGTAAGTGAGGCAGGTGGTCCCAGTAAAGACCAATATGTACCACAACTACAAAAAGAGCTTAATTAGAGCTCAACAAACTCCCCCAACATTCTAGTCACAATTCATGGAACATAAACAATGAGGCTGGTGTGACCATTGAAATATAGCATACTTTATAATATAAAATACTCTTAAAAACACACCATTGTGAAATGAAAAGCCCCAATTATATCCACAAGATATACATAATGCATGCTCTTCTATAAATGCATACAAATTATACAATATACAATTTACATGCCATACTTTTAAAAAAATGTGTTATTGTTAGTAAGGTGTATATGCTACATTTCAGTGGTCACAGCAGCCTCATTCTTTATATTCCATGGATTATGAAGAGAATTTTTTTTTGGGGGGGGGGGGGTTGTTGAGGTCTAAGCAGGCTTTTTGTTATTGGGTTACACCACAATTAACCCCACACCTGCTGGATAAGGAGCCCAGTGGGAGGCTAACCTCACAGCTGCCATCTGCATCTCTACTATGAAACCGGTGGGCACTAGTGAAGCACCCACTGGTTATTTGACATCTGTCATCTGGAGTGAAAGGCATGTCTGATCTTTTCCTCTCCCCCTGCCGATCCACCAGCACCCAACCTCTTCCACATCTCAAGTGCTACACCCAGGGGCGGACTGACCATTTGGAAACTCGGGCACTGCCCGGGGTCAGTAGGGGGCCCCATGAGATGCCCCTGGTACCTTTTTTCATAGGCTTTTTTGAGTTTGGGCAAGGACACAGGGGCCCCATGATCCCCTATTGCCCAGGGGCCCCATGAGTTGTCAGTCCGCCCCTGGCTACACCGCTACATGAATTTTGGCTGCACTTTTAGCACTTGTAGAGGGGAGGAGACCAGGTGCTGGGGGAGCAGCAGGGGGAGAGGAATCAGATCAAACATCCCTTCCTCTCCATATGACAGATGTCAAGTAAAGAGCGGGCACTTCGTTAGTGCCCGCTGGTTTCATAGTATAGCTGTGGTGCTCGGCTCCTATTGGGCTACACCTCCAGCAGGCATGGGTTCAATTGTAATGTGTGGCACGCTTGGCTTCTTCTTAAGTAAGAAAAGACTGTTAACTGGCGTCTCCCCATGTGTGCACTGCACACATAGATGATATGACACTGTTTCTCACAGTGTTCATTAGAAGATGCAGCATGTCAGAAAGGACCTGCTTCATTTTTGGACATGAGGAAATGCAGCATCATCTAACCCCCTCCCAACCTTACTGTCCTGGTCTGCCCATTTTATTAATTGGATTTCAGCTCTTTCAATCATCAAGGCTCAGTATCATATGTCTGTGTTACCTAGAGCAGTTGGTTTGCAAATAAAGTCTGCCTAGGAACTCCCATACCTCCAGACCGATATCAACCCATTATGGCATTTGATATTTGAGAAGCACAAAGACCCAGTGAATGTCATTTAGGCTAAAATAAGGCATGACAATGGTTTATTTAAACATTTTATCAGTATGTAAATGAGGAGGTGAGGGCAGAACCGGGAAAGGCAAAATATAAACCAATTAAGCTTCAGTAACTCAATAAACCCTTCTGTTTGATACATTGCTGTATTTTCAGCAGATTCCCAATTCCAACAGGTTAGAATGGTCTGAAATAGCAAAGAGTTATAAACATTTGCAGTAAAATGGATTACATATTATAGTATTGTTATTATACCCATTTTCTTTTTACACAGGAACAGGTTAGTCTTACTCCTGGACGAGATATTGACTGGGCAGAAGAGATTGCAAAAGCTCACCCTCATGATTGCATTCCTGTCGAATCTGGTCACCCACTGTATGTGCTTTATACGTCAGGCACAACAGGTGTTCCAAAGGTAAAGAAAACCTTCTTGTCTACAATATATTTTCATTATGTTTATGTGTTCAGACTACCTACCACACATATTCAATAAATGGTTCTTCTCATCCAACTTTTTACATAATCTAGAAAAAGAGGGGACAGCATATTTCTACTTGAATGAGGACAAAAATAAAGATTAGAAGGGCATAAAGTGTGAAGAGTTTGTGTTTATTTCTATACCTTTTAACATAGATAAATACACTTTTGCCGTATAGTAAAACAGTCCTTGGCTTTTCTTGAACATAGGGTGTAGTAAGATGCACAGCTGGGTATGCCGTCATGTTAAACTGGACAATGTCAGCCATCTATGGACTGAAGCCTGGTGAGGTAAGGGTCCACGTTTGTTTTACGTTTCCGGCTATTGCACATTGGCTATCAGATTCTAGCCTAATGTCTACTTTTGTTCCAGGTATGGTGGGCTGCTTCTGATTTAGGCTGGGTTGTTGGACATTCATATATATGCTATGGACCACTACTGCATGGAAACACATCAGTATTGTATGAGGTAAGTTCTGTTAACACATGTATGTTGTAAGCCAGGTTATCACTGGGAGTTATTCAGCATATAAGCAAATGGAATAGGATCTCACCCCTGCTAAAGCTGAAATAATTATTTTATTTGCATTTAGAATATAAAAAGCAAGTTCTGCATTGGAGCAATCTTTTTAAATATTAACCTAACAATTCCCTGAAGATGTCCTCAATTTCTCCATAGCACTCCAGTTATTTTAAGAAACACATAAAAGTAAGGGGAAAGTTGGTGTCTAAATTGAATGTATAAAAGTTCGCTGCATAGTTATGAGTGATAGAAAAAAACAACATGGATAGTGCACATAAGTTCAGGTTCATAGTGTGGGTTATTTATATAGTTTTCAGGTGCTACAATTTTAAATATGCAGATACTCTACTCTCTGGCACTGACCCTTGTGTTTCTCTTTTCTTCTCTTGGGAACTGAAACAAATTTCAAACACTGCAGCAATCGAGCCATAGTAGATATTTAAAATGATACATGTATCAAAATACTACATTTGTTACTGCTTTACCATATTGTTTATTTTCTGTAGGTGTAATTCCTGTAGACCTATTTTAAAGTAAAATGTATCCTGAAGGGGGATTTTTGTTTTATTGCAGAGAACAAATCCAAGTTGGGGAAGATATAATGTGGTACACAAAAAGGAACAAAGCTCCTTGTCCTCATGAAGTATGTCTAATTTATAAAAGCTACTCATAAAAAGTTACTCCAAAAATAGAATTATACACTTAGAGAATCCACAGGCAAGCTAAACCAGATACATTCAGGTCACATACTAATTGTGTCTCTAAAAACTGACCACTTCCAGCATTGTATCATAAGACAATTGGTTGGCATTTGGAGACATGACTAAAGGATCTAAGTATTTGGCCTGGTCATGTTTGGTTAAGCTAAATTGTGGATTCTACAAGTGTTTAATAGTTCTATTCTTGTGAGAGCATTTTATGAGTATCTTTTAAAAATAAAGACATACTTCACTAGGACAAGGCACGTTATCCATGTTTTTTGTTTTCTATGAATAACAGATCTCCTTGTCTGTAGTATGAACATCCTATCCTCAAAAAAGTCCTGAACTTCTTTGAACCATAATGGTGTTTTTTTTGTGGTCATTTGTGAGAAAATTCTTGACTGTTGCAGCTGGCATAGGATACATTAGATAAGTTATTCCCACTGTGTCAACTAAAGTTACTTCCATTAATATCTGCATGATGGTATACAACTCCATAATTAACAGGTCAATGGCAAGCCATGCCTTCATGCTAAAGATGGTCATCTGGCCATATGGGATGAAGGAGGGGATATCGTAGAGAGACCTCTCTCCTCTTCTAGAATCTATAGCAGCTGATTTGATGTAATTAATTACATTTTAATACTGGTAAAGCCCAGGCAGTTGTGGTACGTAACATAGCTTCCATATTCTACCCTCTAATAAAGGATATCCAATTTTTATCATCTTGATGGTACTGGCAAGATACAGTGGGGTTGATTTACTAAAATTGGAGAGTGCAAAATCTGGTGCAGTTCTGCATGGCAGCCAATCAGCTTCCAACTTCAATTAAGCTTTGACAAAAAAACATGAAAGCTGATTGGTGGACTTGCACCAGATTTTGCACGCTCCAGTTTTAGTAAGTCATCCCCCACTACGTCTTAGCTGCGAATTAACTTTAGATTGTATGCTATATTAATTTGTGTAAGAAGTATGCATGGCCTGTTTAAGACTGCCTTCATGTAATGTTTTTTTCCTTCTTTACCTACAAGGTATTTTAAAAGATCATTTCTAATTTGGCTTAATCACCTGCTGTCATGACACAAAACAATAATACTTCCTGTAGCTAAAAGCTAGGTAAACCACTCACTGTTACCATGGAAACAGCAGGCACTGGTGTCCCTTTTTCATCTCTAAGCTTTTGCTTATGTTAACAAAATATAGATATAAACAGTGATTCGGTGTGTGTGTGTGTGTGTGTGTGCATGTGTGTGTTAGTGTGTGTGTATATATGTGTAGATAATTGTATGTAAATATACTGTATATTGTGTGTATGTATAATGTATATGTGTATATAAATATGTTAAGATAAAACACATTTAGTGTGTGTGTGTGTGTGTGTGTGTGTGTGTGTGTATATATGTGTGTGTGTGTGTGTGTGTGTATATATATATATATATATATATAGTGTAAATAAATGTAATATATACTGTATAGTGTGTACGTATATATGCAAAAAAAAGACTATAAAAAATGTTCAGAAATACATAAGCAACAAATGTGGATTAAAAAAGCTGCAGCCTATTATGGGGATATAATTTACATGTCCTTTTATTAAAGCATAGAATAATACTGTTAATGTAATCAACATTCACTTTAAAGCTTTAACAAAAAATCCTGCTTAGTGAGTGACCAGCATTAAAAGGAAAATAAGAGCAAATCAATCTGACCACACACAAGTGGGCGACATGACCATACATTTCACCTAATAAAATAATACCAATGACATAAAAGAAGGGAGAGGGGGCGCTTGCTCATTGATGACCACTGGAAACTTCTGTGACAGCCCAGTTGACAGCTGAGCTAGATAAAGGGTAAGGAAAGGAAAAACGGCTGTCAAATTTCCTGCCAAAACTTGATCACCAATCACTCAAGGTAGGAGAAGATACTTGTCCTCAACATCAGCAGTTGTTTTTTTATTCCTCAGCCACAGGTTTAGTCAACAAGGACCTTTTAATGATCCACCAACAGAACCACAAGAAATTACTTTGACCGGAGCTGGTGTACAATGAAACCTTAATATAATTTAAACATTGAAAAGGGGAGAGATTAAAACTTGCTCAAAATATAGCATAACAAAAGACAAAATAAAAGGAAGAATGCTTGCATGTAAGCATGTAATGCATGTAAGGCAGAGAAATTGAGAAAATTTGGAATGAAAAAAATAGGGAGGGGGCACTCCAGTACCATGAGGTCCCTGCTTTATTGCCATGGTCTTTACATTATTCCCCTTCGTTCTCATCCTCGCGGCTGCTTTCCTCCTCTGTTGCCCCTGCCAATCTCTTCTGGCTCTCTTCTCCTGGATGATTAGGTCACCTATAATAATATTAATTTTATTATCAAAAAACATTCCTGTGTACTTCCCTTATTTCTTTTTACTTTTTATTACCCCTGCTTTTACTTCCCTCACTGCCTGCATCTCATCCAGCAAGAGGCTCTGCAGTGTTCCTAGAGAACAAGATAGTGACAATTGGCCAGGGCTTAGATAAAAGTCAAGCTCCTGAACTTCCCCAGTGTCCATTAGAAACAGCAGCAAGTCATATAGAGCTAGCCTCATTTCCCGACTGGAGAATGCCCAACATGACTGTCCCTGGACCACCCCTTTCATTCACTGGATTTCACTTCTTTCACTCATGGAGGCTCAGCACCATGTGGGCATTACCTAGGGCTGCGTGCATGGAAATGCAGTCTGTTGTGGGATGCCCACTCCAAATTGATATTCACCCATCAAGGCATTTTGATTTTTGTGTAACTCATCCCAAGAGCCAGGCTACAGCTTGTTGCAGTGTTTTTAGTGAGCTATGTACAGCGCCCTGCTGGTCCCACCCATCAGCTATATTTTGCTTGTGTTACATAAAGAAACATCAAGACCTGGCAATGTCATCACTGGGTCTAAAATAAAGTAAAAAAAACAGGGAGGCAGAGCAGAACACCGCTCTGTGTTCAAAAGACACACAGAGTGGGGCTCAGGAGCGAGAACGCACAAGTGCCCCCACAACAAACAGCTTGCTATGGGGGCATATGTCATGGGGGGAATGGGTAGCAGAGCTGGCAGGGGACCCAAGAAGGAGAGGATCAGGGCTGCTCTGTGAAAAACCATTGCACAGAGCAGGTAAGTATGACATGTTTATTATTTTTTTCTTAAAAAGAACTTGTACCTTTTTACAATCACGCTAAACCCCTAAAACAAAACTGTATTGTATTTCAGCTTTCAGGTCCTTAGATGTGGCAGCTGCATTCGTTTTCTTTTCTCATATTTGTTTCCTTTATTTTACCTATTTATTCTGCCAATAACATACTTCCTGTCTTAGGATGACAACTATACTGAGCAGCTTTGTCTCCCTAGGAAAGGGAGTGTTTTAGGACAACATGAGACTGATTTGGACTATATAACACATCCCTCTCTTCTCCATAGAGACTAGTGTTTTTTTAAGCTCCAAGAATTGTTATCAGAGTATTTTCTTCTGCTTCTAGAAGCTAAATATGTTATCCTATGTGTCCATGTACGCCATTTTAGTCTATTAGCATTTTTTGAGTTTCAGCATCTAGGAGCAGAAAAATGTTGTAGAGTTCTTTGGAGCATTTTTACAGCAGAAAAAAAATGCTAAATGCTCCTAGACGCTACTAAAACATTCCTAACAACTTTTTTTTTTTTAGCTTATGCTAGAAAAATGCTAACGCTCCTAAACACTTTTGAATGCTACTAAAAACACTATCACCATTGTTTGTCTGTTTTTTCTCCAGCCTTTTTCAGTGTTTTTTAGCTAAAAAAAGCTAGTGTACATGGAGCTGAAAGAACAATCTTTGACTGACTTGGCGTTGATTGAAAACAGTAAATTTGCAGTGTTTGTAAGCATTAGAATTGTCAGAAGTTGTTTCTTATGTTGTGTTAGTTTTATATTCATTGTGGCCAAAAAGGTGATATACTGGTATTCTGTATACGGCTATAGAAAAGTCATTTGATATTGCTATAATTGGTTATCTACTCCAGGGAGGACAATCTCCTATGCAATGGTCTGTTATTGCACATCGGCACTCTTTAGAGTCATTCAGGAAGTGCTGAAGCTTTGCCCGTTGAAACGGCCTGAGATTCAGCCATGTCAGGAGAGTTTGGGAAGCTGCCATAGATACTTGCAACATTTTAGACCCCTATCCCCCAGAGATCAAGTTTTCTTAAAATATATCTTTAGACAAAAGGTTTTATTTTTGGATGGAGTGGTGGAGAATTAGAGCCCTCGCTAGGTTGTACTGCTATAGATAAGCAAGTCAACAAAGCAAAATCACTTTTTAGCAGCATTTGCTAGCTCTCCCATTTCCCTATATGCATTCAAGTTACTAAACTGTCAGCTGAGCCCTTTGTAAACCTTTTAGACTTTTTCCATTGCCATGGTAGACATGTAGACACTCTAATCATATGTCAGTGATGTAAATATTCCACTTATAAGACTGAAAACTACTTATAGGTTTCACAGCACTGAGAGTTTATGTAGTCACAGCTTTTATAATAACCTTAAACAATAAAGAAGACTACCCTTAGATTGGTCACTTTTCAGCAAAGGGAGATAAGGAAACATGCAAGCAATGGATTTACAGATTTACTACAATTTAGTGTAACCCATTTTTGTTGCAAAAAAAAAAAACAACAATTTATATATTGCAAGGATTTATGCAGACTTTAGCCTTTTAAGTTAGAAAGTTTAGCAAAAATTTACCTTTTTATGGTATGAAGAAATAACTGTGTTTCAACATATCATTTCCAGACTGATTCCTGAATGGGGGGTCAGCCATCACTATATAAACCTAATTAAATCTCTGCATTGGCTTAGAGAAAGCTGCATTGGCATCTTCTTAGATCCTTTCACACCTGCTTTGTCACCAGTGTTCAGCAGGGGATCCCTGAAGGGTTTTGTGACATCAGTGCTTGTTCGGTATTAGTCTGATTTTTGACAGTGGACATCTTAAGGCCTGTGATGGCTCTATGGGCAGCTGTATATAAATGGTTTTGTCACGTTTGGGTCTTGAAAAAACAAAAAGTACTTTTCCATTTTTTTTTTATTTGGATCTGGATGGACTCAGATGTAGGTGGATGTAATTGGACATTTGTCTATTTACATCTGCCTGCCCATTAAGCTGTATGGAGCTTCCAATCAGGTCCGCCAGAAAACTGACAGGGAGACCGGATTGGAAAGTCCATGTGAAAATGGCTTCAGAAGTAGACATGCCTTAGTGAATATCACGCAAAAATTAAACTCCTGTTGCAGAGGATAAGTGAAAATACACATGCAGCCTTCTCTATATACATTTTTTTTTGTATTTTTTTATTACAAAATTGGAGTATATATTAAAATATTGGTGCCACACCCTAAACAACACATTTCAAGGAACTCTCTTGGCTATGCTGGCTCTTTCACATAATTAATATAATGTACTGCAAAACCTTGGCATTTATCTCTAAGGGCTCATGTTCACTGCAGCTGCTAAACTGAAGTTTAGAAGCAGTTGTGTGTTTTTTTTTCAGCAGACCCTGAACTCTCCTTTGTTTTCCTATGTGTCCATGTACACATAGTTGTTTACAGACAGTTGAGGTTACAGGCATTTTTTTAAATCACAAAAATCGCATTTAGGAGTAGAGTTTACCGCCGTTTCAAACGCCAAATGCTTGTAACCGCATGTAAACGCATTTATACACATTAGACATGTTTTTGGGCTGGTCCATATCCAGATGCTGTCCAGGTTTCGCATGCAGGAAAAAAATGGTAGAACACGCTGCATTATTTCTGCACAGAACTGTACTGGAACACAGCAAAAGAGTGTTGTGTGCACTCCAGAATGCATCCGGAGGTATTACAGCAGCAAGCGTGTTTCACGAGCCACTTTTGCTACAGTTGCAACACCCACCAGAAAGTAGTGCTCTCTCTGCTTCTGCTCTCTCTATTTCTCACAAAATGTTTGAAATCGTTAATTATGTACCATTTTTTAGTGCATTCTGGGCATTTGGGAGGGTCTTCTGAGGTTATCTTTTAAAACTGCTTCTAAACGTAAACGCACAGAAATGCAGCTAAACACGGTAGGTAAATGCGGCTAAACTGACTTTTTTAACCTATGTTTTCTAGCAGTCTGTTTCCAGTGTTCAGAAAAGTTTTTCAAATGCCTTGTGTACATGAGCCCTAGGGGAAAAATGGTTGCCCCTATATAAATAAAAAATGTTTTTTAAGGGAACAAGGTAATACTCAACTATTTAAAAAACATGATGATTTCACCATTATGAAGAGGTAAAACTGTAAAATACCTACTGAAAATCAAAGCATGCATGAAATGAAAGTTAAAATTATGTTTCAATGAGCATTATCTTAGGGAGATAATTGCATTAATGTAATATTTGTTTTGCAACTGCAAGTTACAAATAACAGACTGTCTTATTGGAGCTCTGGGCGACTTTCACTAAAATCTGTTGGTACTGTTATCTGGATTTATTTCCTCTAATATTCTTAAAATAACTGTTTGCAGGGAAAGCCAGTTGGAACACCAGATGCTTCTGCATATTTCCGTGTGCTATCAGATCATGGAGTAGCAGCCATGTTTACTGCACCAACTGCAATTAGAGCCATACGTCAGCAAGATCCAGAGGCATCCTTGGGGAAGAAGTATTCTTTAACCAAGTAGGTTTTATTTTTATGGAGATTGCTGCATAACATGCTGCGCTAGTGGAATACATTTTTTAAAACCGTAAAAAATACAGTATAGAAGTCAGGAGTTCTGGCTTGTTCTCTAAACATACACATTTATACGCCAAGCATCCATCCTGGATTCTTCCCTAGGACTGGTCAGTCTGACAATGTTTGAAGAGGACCAAAGGGGTCTATATATTCAAAAACCTAATTTTACAAATGACATCTAAAACATGAATTGATATTTATGAAGTGCTACCCCCCCCGTAGGAGTCACTGGTCAGATGGGTCTTCTGTTCTTTGCCTCCACCTCCTTAAGAACTTCAGCCCCTCTAATACACTAGGTTGAGTGTATACAACAAGCAATATCATAGAAAATATCACTAAAAGTAATACTTCATACCAGGGGCAGACTGATCATTTGGAAAACGCGCGGGCACTGCCCAATGGCCCGGGGTCAGTAGGGGGCCCCATGAGATGCCCCTAGTACCCTTTTCATAGGCTTTTTTGAGTTTGGGAAAGGACACAGCTGCCCCATGATCCCCTATTGAGGACCCGGGGTCAGTAGGGGGCCCCATGAGATGCCCCTGGTACCTTTTTCATAGGCTTTTTTTGAGTTTGGGCAAGGACACAGGGGCCCCATGATCCCCTATTGCCCGGGGGCCCCATGAGTTGTCAGTCCACCCCTGCTTCATACCCAGTACTGGTGTTACATCGAAGAAACAGACAGTGAACCAATTCACTGGTAAACAATTAAAGGTAAACGTAACATTGTTACGTGATGTGGTTTGTAATAAAGTAAGCATAGAAATGTTTAGCAATGGTAATAACACAATTTAGCATACAGGGTGATTAGTTGTAAGGACTAGGCATAAGATGGCATTGGTCATCCAAGGTCACCTAAAGTACAGCAGTAGCACCAGCAGTAAAGCTTTACTCTGCCTACATGGCCGCATCATTCATTCACGGACTTCCGTGAATGAATGAACTGCAAGTCCAGATAGCCTTAGCTGCTGTGGGCTTGTAGTTTTCAATGAACTACCACGGCGCTGGAGGGTGCCTTGGTAGTCCATTGAAGCTTCCTGTCAGAAAATCTGCTTCACCGTACATCCCGTATGGCAAGCAGATATTCTAACAGGTCTGTAGGAGACCTACATGGCATCAGTGATCTACTGATTGCTGGTGCAATGCTTTACAGGCTTCTTTGGACAAAAATAATAAATGCATATTTTTATACCTGCAAAAAAGTGCATTTATTATTTCTGTCAAAAAGGTGAACTTATCCTTTAATGCTCAACTCCACTTAAAAGTGAAAGTTATACTTCTCTTCCTCCTCCCTCTACTGTAACATTATTCGTGGCTTTTTTTTTTCTGACCGGTACCTGCTTCCACTAGCGCTTTTCTCACCTAAGCAAAAATTTCTGAAATTTGATCCACTCCCCTCCTCGCTTGCAACTCCTGTGACATGCCACATGTCCCAGGAGGCTGTGTAACCAGTCTGAAAGCGCAGCGCAATCTCACGCATGTGCAGTGGGGAGTCACAGCTGGCTCCTACAGCCATGATGGCAGCACTGGGAATCTGAAAAGAGGCAAAGACCTGGCCCGGCTGAAGAAAAACACTGGAATCCTTCACTGGTAGCTGCTCAGTTTTAATTTAAAAAAAAAAATTAATTTGTTCCAGGAAATTGAATTCTCATTGCAGATCTTATCTACCTTTGTGCCTGCACTGCATGAAGTTGTTTCCCACTCTGAATCCTGTACAGTGCATTTGTTGTAAATGCCAGTTTGGTGTTGGAAAGTGGCATCATCCTACTGTTGGGAAATAGGCTGTTGGCAAACACCATCTGTCTCCCATCTCCCATCAATTTTCCCTATAAGTAGCAGGATCATTAAAGTAGGCTGTATACAAAGCCTGTAGATTATAAGAGGGATAAGACTATTAAGGGATCTGTTCAAAAAATGCAGTTTCTATTGAACACAAATTCACTGTTCTCTAGTAAAAATATGAAAGTACATTTTGTTATTTTTCATAAAAAAAGATATTCTGTAATACATTATACTTTGAAACATTTACCTAAATTAATAGGCTGTCAGAATTTATAGTTGACAGGGATTTTAATTTCTGCCAAGTATGATGTGAAATAAGTTCATTTGCAAATATTTTAGTTACATTAGCTTGTGTCTGAGATATTTAGTATCTACATAGTGCATATTAATATGATGCTGGATTAAGTGCTTGTTGCATATTTTTAGTCTTGGCATGAACATTTGCCCTTTTGGAGCAAGTCAAGCCTTGCTACAAGGCTACTATCCTAAATAAAGCATCATATCAATTGATGTTTGCATAATTACAGTGGTAGAGGAATCTTCATCATTAATCAGCTGGGACACAAGATTCCTGGAAGCGTCCTCACAGCAGGATTTTTCAAATATACTGCTGGAAAGGGTACAGTAATTCATGCCTACATTATGATTATCTATGTTATTAGAGTCATCATATCATGTGAGGAATGTTATACAATCTTGGTTGTGACCTTTACAAAACCGTGTTTAAACGTGTATGTGTACACTTTCCTAAAAATGATTACAGTCTGCTTATCATATTTGATTCCATAAAAGAACGAATTTTAACAAGCTTTCTTCAAAATTTACTGTTTGTCTCAGGGAGTTTGTCAAACAGTAAACTATTCAGTTAACAATATTTATATGTGAATTGTTGTGCAATCCCAAGTAACTTTCAGGCACCCCTCCCCATGCTGTATGGCCATTGAGTGGCACCCATACACCCAGCTATTTGGCCTTCTGTGTTACCTTGCTACCTGAACACAGCATAGGCGTCTTTTCTTTGATTCCCCTCTTTTATTTTGGGTAGACTTGAGAAGAATAGATACCTCTGTCATGTTTGTTTTGTTCTCCATGACCCTGCTGGGGAAATTTCACTTCCTTCCCTGCTCCTTTCAGTAGCATAAACAATGAAGGAAAAGTTTACCATTGGAAAGAAAGAGAACAATAATAACCTAACCAAGGTTCTAACCCTTTTTCTTTTTTTTTTTTTATTTTTTTTTTATTTTAAACAATCTATTACCATTGACAAGTGAAATGGGAAGTGAAATGAAATCTTCCTAACGGCTACAAACTGCAAATTATGGGTTCTTCAATCTGTGGCATTTTTTTTTTTAAAGCAAAGCATGGTGATATATTAACCACTTGGTGACTGAGGGTAAAACAAATGTTAATGCCTGCACACAATTTTGCAACTTTGACATGTGTTAGTAAAACTGTACATATTATCGCAAATTCTTTGTGTATCCAGGTGGATTGTACCTTAAATTATTTCAGGACAAATTAGGCTTTCTTTTAGTGGCAAATGGTAATAGATATTTCCTGTTAATTTTATATTAAAGTAAAATGGCCCAAAATTGTGTGTGTGTGTGTATATATATATATATGTGTATATATATATATATATATATATATATATATATATATATATATATATATATATATATATATATATATATATAGCATACATATATTAATTTAGCTGCATATTTCTTGCTACTACCATAACTTACCACCAAACAACAACCGAAAATAAATTCTGTTCCCAACTATTGCAGCAATAAAGCATATGTGTATGTTTAGTTGTTGTTTGTGCAGGTAGTTGTTTTTTTTTTTTTTTTTTTTTTTTTTTATGCTACCTAAAACACACAGACACTGACTCTAATACTAATGTTTAACAGGCAAGCATATTTATCAAGTCCTACCTAAAATATACTTACCCTGATCATTTGCCCCTGGTCTTGACCTTTGCCCCTAACTTTGACCCTAACACTAATCCTGGCACTGACTTAGATCAAACCTTGAGCCAGCTATTTTTTTTTTTTTTTTTTTTATATTTTATGCAATTTTGTTTATTTACACCTCTCTCTCTTGCAAGGTGAGAAAAATACAATGTATTTTTCTCTTTCTTCAGAAGAGAAAGAAAAACGGGGAAGGCTGCACAGTGACTGATCACTGTGATAGTCATTCAGAGGCTCTCATAGTGATCAGGTTATTGGGAACCGGGAGTCCCGGGTCCCGATCGCTATGAGACCCGGGGCTGTCAGTGAGAGCCTGGTTTCTGTGCTGCGAGCATGCTGTATGGCCCCGCTTCCTGCACAAAGGCAAGTACACAGATATGTGGCCCCCTGGATGAAGACCCACTTCAGTGAGGCCACATATCTGCGTACTGGGAAAGGGGTTAAATTGTACGAATGATTAAGAAAACCAAGCAGAATCATGACAACAAGGGAGTAATAAACCTTAAAATAATTTGTGTACTTTTGCCTTATTTGGAGCCATGAATTAATACGTACTTGTTCAAGTGTGGATGTGTACGAGTGTTGCTTTTTTCATGTTTAAAAATGTTTATAATGGTAATATCTAAAAACCATTATATAGTTAGAGAAACGAAATGCCAAAATTGTGCAGCGCTTCACTCAAAATTACTAAATGCAAATCATATGTACATCCTAGTGCTGCTATTAATTATAAGTATCAAAGTAATAAAATAAATGGAATTAGCAAATCAAGCAATATCAATTTCCAGGAATAAAGTTCATATACAAGTGAAAAAAAGTGTGAAAATAGGTCAGGAAAAAAAAGACCATACATATACTTCTTCAAACGTGCATAGTTCACTTGGAAAAAATATATAAAAATAAAAAATCCCGTGCTTCTTAATCCCTTCCCGCCGGCGCCTCCCAGCCCTTTAAGAGTTTCAGAAGCCGGGAAGGGGACAGGCGGGGTTTAGGGATCATGTGATCATGTCGTCACGGCGGTCACATGATCGGGAAAGCTCCCAATTGAAAGAGGAGACCGGGACCTTTCCATGAGTACTGGACATGTGTGTGCTGGGAGCGCGCACTCTCAACACGTATGTTTTTTTTTGTTAATTGCACGCAAATCTGCGGCCGTTCGGTGTCTAGGCCCAGATGCCAGGGGTCCAC